ATCATATACCTCTTCTCCTAACCTACACTGCAAAAACTGTCCATCTTACCAAGTTTTAAAGTCTTCTATCCAGCCAAAAAGTCTTTTTCATCTTGTTTTGAGACTGATTTACTAAACAAGAACTGATTGTGTAAGAATAATAATCTTGTTTTCAGAATGTGTTAGATTATATACTGTATCTTGTTAACCTGAAAATTTGACTCAAATTAAGTCAAAAATTTCTTCCACTGGAGTGAGAAATTTTTATTTGAAATAAGAAAAAACTGAGTCAAATCAAGTATTTCAAGAATCGTACAAATTAAAAATTTCTTACTCCATTGGCAGGATTTTTTTTTTACTTAATTTGAGTGATATTTTTAGGCTAACAAGACATATAATCTTACACATTCTGAAAACAAGATTATTATTCTTACACAATCAGTTCTTGTTTAGTAAATCAGTCTCAAAACAAGATCAAAAAGACTTTTTTGGCTGGATATAAGACTTTAAAACTTCGTTAGGTGGACATTTTTTGCAGTCTATTTCTCCCAATCGAGGTTGATCAATAAGCTAGATACGTACAGCAGATAAGATATTATTTGTTCATGTCCTTGCCACAAAACCCCACTTTACTAGAATTGAACTACTGCTATAAATTACGTATAAATGTAGTTTGCAGCAGAATTAGATTTTAGCATGTTTTCTTTACAAAGGTGCAGGTTGGTGGGGTTGGGAATAACACGACTCAACACAGTCGAAAGGGAAAAACCAAAAGTAAGCCACACACGACAACACAAACACAACACTCAGATGGCACTAGGAGGACAAGAACACAGTGTATACACATGTAAGAATGAAAAAGCCCACATACACACGCGTGATATGACACAACCTGAAGAGAGAGACAACAACAACACAGAGGCACATCAGACAACAACGTGACCTGCTGTTCCCATTCATTTTTCTTCACTTTCACATTAAAGTTAGTTACTAAGACAGGACACAACAACAAGGTTATTTTCACTTGAGCTGCTGGATGTATTTGTGCAGACCCACATGGATGCCCTGGGTTTAAGGCCTCGCACATACACAAACACACACATTTGTGCATAGTAGAGCAATCCCATTTTCTTTCGATTTATTTTATTTTTTTTACATCTTGTACATTGTTGACTTCACAAAATTAGGAAGGCACTTTAAAAGCAGAATATTAGGCTGAGGTTAGGTTGCATCGACTCCCAAATGAAAGAATGAGCCCCACAGTTCATTTCTGCCACACAAGTAAAACCCAACCTTAGCTCAAACTGTTTGCAACTGGCTTTGAGTTTCCTCACAGGTAATAACTTCATCGAACATTTGCACACATTTCATGAAAACATTCCTGTATCTGTGATTTCAGTTCGATGTGCAGCTGCATCTATGTTAAAGGGGGTGTCATATTTTTGCAGCACAGTCTGTGCATTTGCAAAGCATCAAGTCAGATCAAAACATGTGGGTGTTTCTTGTCAGAAACTGACTACACTATAGGCTTTTTAGTTGTAATTTTTTTTACCTCTGTGCTACGGTTTGATCCAGGAGGAGGTGGAGTTTGCATTGAGGTCCTGCTGTAACAGAGACCCCTCCATCTTAAACCAATCCTCAGTCAGAGGGGAGTCTGGGCTGGGTGCCAGGGCTGCTGTCTCTAAAGTAGTTTGTTGTCAACAAGGGGGGTGTTGGAAGTTCAGAGGGAGTGTGGGGGGAGTGTTTTGGTGCAGGTTGGTGGTGGTTGGATTGCAATAGTAAATGACATTAGGTGTCAGGTATTCATGGGCATGTGGATAATGCACATGGGACAAAAAAAACAGGAGAAATGATGGAGCACAAAGTAAAAAAAAGGGAGGGAGGTATGGGAGGTGGAGGGGGAAGGAGTGACCAGGTGTGGATAATTTGGATGGGAGTTCGGCGAGGAAAAGTCATCGGAGGGGTGGGTGGCAGCGGGGAGAAATTTAAAAAAAAAGTTGATGCGAGACAAGAGGGAGAGAGAGAGAGAGAGAAAGACAAGGAGAAACAGAAGTGACGAGAAGTAAATTAATGCATGGTCAACTGTCTGAGTCCAGAAGACAGAGAAAGACAGATCATTTCTGAGCATGAACGAATGTGAAAACATGGGACAGAGAAGAAAAAGTCACAAACGCCAGAAAAAAGATGGAGGTACGATATCGAAGCTATGTGAAAAGAAAGGAAAGACAAAAAACAAAGAAACAAAACAGAAAGACAGAAACATTATCTGCGACAGAACAAAACAAATAGTGGAGATGAGAAGACAGACATGAACATGAAAGAATGGAAACAAAGAGCAGAGTAGAAGAGCTGTGTGTTTGTGCATATGTTGACTGCAAATGTGTACTGGTTGTTTTTGTTGAGGCTTTTAACTCATTTTTTCATGTGTACTAATCTGAATCTTTATAACATACTGTATTTTACAAGTATCTGTACTGGCCGCACACTGGACACATATTGTTGTTTACAGCATATTGTGCCTGGCATCTTGCTGCGTGGATGTGTTTACGTAAGATGTGAGTTTTTACATATCCGTCTCCTGGTGTGAAACATACCTTTCCGCACATTCCCATCTGTGGCACGAAATTCCCTGGTGTTGAGTAGGAAGCAGGCGCGGTCCTGCTGGTAGCGTTCCCGAGTGGGGCCTCGCCCAATGGGGCTCCTCTCGTCTGGGCTTAGCACCTGGTCGATGGTGGGGCAGTCCTCGTTAGCCAAGGCTGCCGAGGCTGCGTCACCATTCTGCTTAGAATCTGGATGAGACAAAGCAAAGTTACAAAAAAATCACAGAGTAGAATTGCGGACAAAAAAGTGTACGTTTTTRCTGGAGATAAGCACAGTTTTGTTGCCCAGAACCACTTTTTTTAAAGGTATACAAAGGTACAAAACAGCAATAAAAGGGAGGTCTAAATGTATTTACCGGTAGACATTATTCTTGATCAATTGTACATTCTCAAGTCAAAACTGCACCTGATAAAACAAGCCAAGCAGAGTGACAACTAACGTTTTTTTTTATTATTATTCTCTCCGATGTCCGCTGAGGCGTTACGTTTAAATGTTTCAGTTTTTTCTTTGCAAGGTTGAATGACGGGATGTTTTAGATGAACAAAAATTCTGAAAAAATAATTGCCTGCCCATACAGTAAACATACCCTGCTGACATTTAGTTACTTACAAAAACACATGGAGAAAGCCCGGCAGACAGGATGTAATAAAAGCACTGAAGAAACCAATATTTTGTGGCTCACTCATGACTGAGCCATTTAAGTAATGCTTTAAAGGTGCATTATTGAATTGTAGCATGGGACTGGTGCTTTGGTGCTGGAGCAGTTTTACTGTCAATGGCAGAGAGAAAATCTGTGAAGTCAGCCAAAAATCATATCCATTAAGCTGTTTTAAAAGATAATTGAGTTCATTTTCCTTCCAATGTGTTTATTCTGTTCACTGACAGATGGGTGCCTCAAGGCAAACGGGAATCTCCATGTTGATCATAAATTACACAAGAGTTCTGATGGGCCAGTGATTACGTCAGGGTGGTGGAGGAAACAACCACATACCATTTCTTTATTTTACTCCAACCTCTTTCTCATTACACCATAATTTGGCAATCCGTAAAAATCCTTAAAATCATTTGAAATTTAAACATTTTGGCACTAAATATTCTGCAAAAACTAGGGATGGGGTCAATCTGATCCAGTCTGAAACTAACATAATTAACGGATCAGAACTTTCTGATCCAATGTGAGGAGATTTGTGTTTTATTGTTGTCTGCTGTAATGACTCCAGAAGTGATTCCTGGCCAGCTGCTCTGTTAGCTGGCTACAAACTGTGGAATGGATTTTCTAAACAGACGCGAGTCTCAATGAGACATGGCGTAATGAGACGCCCCTCCATTGAGTTAATCCTTTCCAGAGTTTAGTTTGGTCAATTTTAGTGCGTTTGAGTCGAAACAGGGAGGCAATTTTTAACGTGAAACTACAGCTTCTGTTTGATGTGGAGGAAGGTTTGCTAAATTTGTGCACAAATTTATGGAAATTACAGTTTATATCTGTATTCTACATTATATAAAATCAACAATAATGATTATAATAATATGAAATGATTAATAAGGATGATCATTATGATGATGACATTAATAGTTACAATAATATTATTAAAACAAACAGAGCTCTGGAATCGGAATATTCTGTATCAGACAATATTTAAATTCAGGTATCGGATCGTAAGTGAAACAATGTGGATCGGTGCATTCCTAGCAGAAACTCACCTCTGTTTATCTCTATAATCTCTTCTTGGGCGAGAGGACAGTCCCCCCCTATACCTCCAGACCCAATTACGCCACCTAAGACATTTCCCAAGATYCTTTGTGGTGAGGCAGTAGCCATTGCAAGCGCATCTGGCTTGCAGTAGTTGGGGGACCCTGGTTGYGGTGCTCGAGGGATATGTTTGTTCTTCTTTTTTGGCAGCTTCTGTTTGGCCATAGCCAGAGAGTAGTACATGCCGAAGTTGTTGACAATGACAGGTACAGGCATAGCGATGGTTAGCACACCAGCCAAGGCACACAGAGCACCCACCAACATCCCTGACCACGTCTCCGGGTACATATCACCATAACCCAGCGTGGTCATCGTCACAACGGCCCACCAAAATCCAATGGGGATGTTCTTGAAGTTGGTGTGGGCACTTGCTGTTGGGTCACCTGGGTCAGCGCCAATTCTCTCAGCATAGTAGATCATGGTGGCAAAGATGAGGACGCCGAGGGCCAAGAAGATGATGAGCAGGAGGAATTCATTGGTGCTGGCGCGAAGGGTGTGGCCRAGGACGCGGAGACCCACAAAATGACGCGTCAGCTTAAAGATTCGGAGGATACGGACGAATCGGACAACACGGAGAAACCCCAGGACATCCTTGGCAGCTTTGGAGGACAGACCGCTGAGGCCAACCTCCAGGTAGAAGGGCAGGATGGCAACAAAGTCGATGATGTTGAGGGCACTTTTGAAGAATTCCAACTTGTCTGGACAGAAGATGACTCTCAGCAAGACCTCAATGGTGAACCAAATGACGCATACACCCTCCACATATGTCAACCAGCTGTCAGTCACCACCTCGAATACTATCTCCTCACGTGTTCCATTGGGAGTCGTGACGTTTTCAGTCTTGTTTGTGATGGTGTTGAAGGCCTCGTGCGTCTCCATGCAGAAAGTCGATATAGARACGAGGATGAAGAAGAGGGAAATAAAAGCCACATACTGGAAAGAAAAGCAAAGAAAGAACAGAGAAGAATWACAAGTTGGTTTCAAAACAACAAAATTCAACTTCTCAAAATTATATTTTTAAACCTTAACCCTACCTTTTCCCAAATTCAAAGCTACATAACTTGAAATGTGCAAACTTTTACCAACACCTACCACATTTTTTCATCAATCTAGAAGCAGTTAATATCCCAGAAAATGCAAATAATTCTGCCAAAACCTCACATCCCCACATTTGTATGTTTAGCTCAAACTTGTCTTTTAAGTCAGGTCCTATAATTAAATCTGTTTTCTCAGGGAGACAAATTTTCAACTTGCTTATTTTCTCATGACTCAAAGGCAAGTTTTCCTAATTCTGCAGTGTCATTTTCAAGACACACACACACACACACACACACACACACACACACACACACAC